AAAAGACAAGGAAGAGGAAGGAAAGAACGCGCGTGGTTCGTGGCCCGTTTGGCACGGTACAGCTCCGGCATTCGCCTGGTGTTGACCGAAGAAACTACATTTTGGAGACTGAGATGACGAAGAAGGTGGTAGTGTCATGGAGGAATGGCATGGTATTAATGTGATGGAGACGGCTAATGACATGAGTGAAGCGGTAAATGTGATAAAGGTGAAATAGATGATAAAGACGTGTAACATAGATGATAAAGACGTGTAACATAGATGATAAAGACGTGTAACATAGAAATAAAAACATGAGGAAGGTGGAGAAGGTGGAAGAGAACCCGGAGGAAGCGAACCCGGAGGAAGCGAACCCGGAGGAAGCGAACCCGGAGGAAGCGAACCCGGAGGAAGGGAACCCGGAGAAAGAGAACCCGGAGAAAGAGAACCTGGAGGAAGAGAACCCGGAGGAAGAGATCCCGGAGGAAGAGAACCCGGAGGAAGAGATCCCGGAGGAAGAGAACCCGGAGGAAGAGAACCCGGCGGAAGCGAGCCCGGCGGAAGCGAGCCCGGCGGAAGGGAGCCCGGCGGAAGCGAGCCCGGCGGAAGCGAACCCGGCGGAAGCGAACCCGGAAGAAGCGAACCCCGAGAGGGCGAACCCGGAGAAAGCCAACCTAGAGCAGGCAAAACCGGCGGAGGCGAAACCAGAGAGGGCGACACTAAGGCGGGGCGTAGGAGACGGCGGAGGCTGGGGAGAGGCGGCGAACTGCAGCTCGGAAGCGGGGCAGCAGCAGCAGTGCATGCGACGGCGGGGCAGGGATTCTCCGGGAAGGCGTTTGCCTCTGAGGGAGTGCATGTTACCAACCTGACACCGGCACGACGCCGCTCGCGCCGCCCGAGACGAGGCGAAACGTGTTAGATAAACAGCGCGGAGACGGCGCGCGTTCTTCGGCTGTCACTGGCATAATTAATTACTCGGAGCGGCGCAGGCGGAGGGAGGGACTGCGGGGGAGGCAGAACAAGAAAGCGGGCTTATTGTGCGGAACAGGGGGAAGGAGGATTAGACGAAGTTGATAACTCTGGGGATGTAACGCGAGGCGGAGGAGGCGCGGGTCGGGGCGGTGGTGATAGGATGTTTCCCCTGCCGGTGAGTCGGCGGAGACGACGGGCGCGGCAGGAACACGAGGCAATCGCGGCGGTGGTGATGAAGGCCCGTGTTCCGGTGGTCAGACACCTAGAGGCTGTTGCTGTGGTGGCGGTCGCTGGGGAGGGATAGTTATGGCTGGGTTTCAACTCTTTAATAATTTGCATCTGAAACGGAAATTCATGAATAAGGCCAGTTTTCTTAAGAGGAGTCTACAAATTATGTACTGTGAATATGATTTTTCAATTCCAAATATAGAAACCTGTTGGTCGAGAACATAATGTTTTGACGAGTTGTGTATAATTTTTGTGGGCATGTTTGTCTTATTACTTTATTTTAGTTCTCACAATTATTGCCATAGTTTTCGAATATCGATTTTTTTTTACTGTTTGTTTCGGGTAAAATAACGGAACTGAAACATTTTATAATGATAAGTGATAATTAGATAATAGTAATGGTTTGATATTGGATTCCGAAGAGATTGAATGCTTTTTGATTAACTACTAACAGGAAGGAATGTTGTCGACATGTAATGGCGGATTCAAGCAATATCAAAAATGTGATTACAATGTTATAGCCGCTTTATTATTAGGGGGGTTGAAAGCAGGAGTAACGACAGTCGACACTTTAGCAAATAATAAAAATTGGAGATAGTAAACAGATGTCAATATAAAACTGTAAATACAACAAAGAAAAAGAAAACAGTGACCAGAGAGTAGGCTACAGAGGTGATATTTAATGAACTTTGTGTTTGAGGTCGTAACGGTAATGTCGGTCAGAAGATACAGAGCACTAACCGCTGGGAAGGTGGACGTGGAAAGCGCTGAAATGCCATCGTTCTGGGAGCTGTGACGGCAGGATCACAGCCGACGAGGAGGAACGACAGTTGGGATCGCGGTGACATCACGAACACTGACGGGGAAACACCCGGGACGGAAGTAGCTCCGGCGGAAATGGCTTCGGCTGCGATTGCGGTGGCGACAACCCAGCCAATGTAGCGCACGTGATCGTCGTGGCTTCATTCACCCGCTCCGCCGCCATCCCCGACCCCGCGTTCACTCTCATTGCCTCTGCCACTTCGCTGCGGTTGTCCTCGCTCCCTCCCTCCCCTCGCTTCCGGTACATCATACCCTCTTCCTTCCTTATTACTACCTTCTCTGCGCCTCCGTTCCATCATCGTCCGCAACGTCACGTCACCTTCCCGATCTCTCTCGCCTTGTTACTGTCCTCTCCCCACCTTTTACTATCACATCCCCGCCTCTTCCCTGAATATATATATATATATATATATATAAACAAAAAAAAAAGAAAAAAACTTCCTACCCCTATCAGGCCTCCGCCTCACCCACCAGCTTTCGTGCCCCTGTCGTTCAGCTTTCTGCCGCGACCCCATCGCCGCGCCACCGTCCCGGCGTCACAGAGGTTTTCGTTATCACTTCCCCTCCTGCTCTGTCACATTCTTCGTTCCCACCTCCGTAATTGTCTCCTGTCTCTTCAACTATCACAGCGTCTTCCCGTCTCCGCTCCACCTTCCTCTACTCGTCACGAAATCTCCCTGCTACTTGTCGAATTGTCACCGCCTTTACTGAGTCCCGTCTCGCTGCCTCTCCCGCCTCCATTCTGCCTCCTATCTACCTCCGCCACGACTCGTCACTTCCCTACTAAGTCCCGCCTTCTTATTGACGCCTCCCTGCCTCCACACTGCACACAGCCTCCTCCCAGCCTCCGCCATTCTTCCACTGCCCCTCTGCTTCATGCACCAGCTTTCCTGGCCACTGCCTCCAATCCTGCTTCTCCACCGCCGCGCCGCCGTCCCGGAGTCACAAACCATATTCATCCTGTTGTCATTTCCATTCCTATACAGTCACATCCATTGTTCCATCTCCACTATTCTCTCTATCCTCCATGTTTGTCACCCGTACCCCTGTTTTTGTTCGTCTTATGTTCGTGTCTTCTTCACACTGACGCGGGGGCTCCCCCATCCCACTGTTTTTACATTACTCCCTCTCACCTCCGCTTCACCCCACCCCTTCCCATCCAGCTGCCCGTTTATCCGCGCTTCTCACACTCTCGTTATCCTTGTCGAACCGCTGTCCTTCCTAGCCGCTCCTCGCGTTGACCCAGAAATACTTGTTACTCCTTCTGCTCGAACAGTGGCCATCCATGCCGATACCACCGTTCCACCAGTTCTTACCACTACCGTTGTTGTCATCTGTTGCCTCCGTCACCCAAATCCGCTCCGCTTCACCCTTCCACTGTTCGTACCCTGTTCTCTCTCCCATATTTGCCGGCCCGCCATAGTTGTCCCCGTCGCCGCCGTTCTCGCTGACACATTCCTATCACCCGGCAGTAGGGGAGTAACTCCGCCGCCGCAATAGGGAGTTTGTGCTCCCTCGAACGTTAAAGAACTATCGATCTTCTGCACATGCGCAGATGCACTAATGTAGTGCGACACTTGAACTGCGCATGCGCAGAAGATTGATAGAGCTTTAACGTTCGAGAGTGCACCTCCCCTACTACCACTGTCGCTGTTGTGCCTCTGACCGGGAGGACTCTACGAATAGTAGTAGATTCGAGTCCCGATGGTCGCATGATTTTTGACACCAGATATATAGGTGAAATTTGGCTGCTTTCCAAAGGAGAATTCTAGCGTCCGACCGGTTCCGTGGTCTCTCCAATCAACACCAGACAAATGCCGGAGCAGTACCATTACAAACTAACCGTACGCGATATTTCCTTCATCTTCTTTGCCCTATCCTCACTCCTTACTAACACACTTACATGCTCTACACTATACTACCGATATGCCGAGAGACTGGTTGGTAGCTTAGAACGTGTCCCGTCTGCGGCGGTGCTACGTTGATGGGAAATATCTGCTTGTGGAAACCCCGCTAGCCGACGGTAGGTTCGCGCCGGATCTCGCCATTCAGCGGGAGAAGATCGACACATCTCGAGGAAACACATACGCAGCACATGCGGGAATAATGACCTTAGCAACTGACACGCTCGGAATCACTACCAATCAATCATTCACCATCCCCTCCCCCCATGACTGACTCGCCTGCGGTGACGCTCCCACCTCTTACGCGGTCTGTGAAACCTACTGCCCTTCCACTCTCCATCCATTCTGACACCGCCGTCACATCCCCCTTTCCCGCCACTAGCGTCACCTTTTTCGCTGCCTCCATCACCTATCCCTTTCAGCCCCGCCTCCTCCTTCCGTCGCCTCAGCGCCGCCTCCACCCATGCCCCAGCTCCCACCCCTCCCCGCCGCGGGCGTGGCTCGTTAGCGGGAACACGATTACCAGGGGGCCTTGCGCGCGCGAGGAGGCTGTGCCGCCGCCGCCATCGCGGGTGACATTGTTCGCCCGCTCTGGGCTAATCACTGAACAGAGGGCGCCCCCGGCAGCGTGTTCCGTCATGTCGCGCTGCGCTAGTTATTTTGGTCGTGGCGGCGGCGGCGGCGTAGGTGGCGGGGTGGGGCAGGGGCGGGGGCAGACCACTGACGAGGCGCCGGGCTTCCCAGAAACGCGTCACAAACTTTCCCCAGGTCCTGGTAACAACATAACTTTGCAGTAGAATAGTTCTTAGAGCTGGTAAATATCGATCTTAATATTTTTCGTAATTCTGTTGTATTATGTCGACATAATAGAGTCAAAGAGAGGAACGAAATGTCACTCCTAACGGCTGGCAATAAGAACAACTTAATCAAATGCGTTTTGAGAAAAGATGGCGTGTGTGTGATCAATTTACTAGAATTATAATGAATATATTTACGTCTGTTATCTTTTTATTTAATAATATTGTAATGGTTTTGTGACCTTAATGAAAGCATACACTTAGCTATTTTTAAACAATTTTTTGACTGGCCAACTAATTAGCCAGATGCTTTCCGCGACTTTACGTACTTCACCAGTGTTTTCTATAATATTGACAAATTTTTATTAAAATGATAACGAATTAGTTATGGTGTGTTTTTCAACAAATGTGGATAAAATGTGTTTGAAAAAGACCTCAACTAGAGTCAAAACGTAACATATTGTTAAAAAAAATATTTTAGTGTCTGTTTTATTAAGGTCCGTAAATCATTACAATTTACATGAATAAGTAATTATTTACGATGTTATTTATTTCTCTTATAAAAAGTGGGAATACGAAAAATATTGAATGGTGAACGGCAGGTATACAAATAACGAACTAGATTCGTCATAAACCGCAATGTCACTTTGAGTAGCTGGTACCTGCAGTGTGAATCCTGACGCCTAAGTTAGATGGTATATACCAGTTTAACGATGTTAACAATTAAAATGAAATAAACTATTAAAAATAAAATGAATGCTGTGTTATTTCGGATTATGACATGCAATTAAATATTGAACGTGCTTAGCCTTTTATCCTATAGGAGAGTTGATGTGTGGCATGATTATACATACAAATTAAAAACATACAAAATATTAACAACCAGTAACAAATATTTAATTTGAATTTATAAAAATAAAATAAAATATTTTGTTTGAAAGAACAAATAAAAATATCAAACAAAGTAACCTGAATATTAACTATTTCAAAATATAGCACAACTCTCAATTATGAACACTGTGAAGAACATTGTCATATTTTTTCACTTTTAAAATGTCTCTATTTGCTCCTTCGATATCAACAAGACTACTCTTCATCTCACCAAAACAAAATAACCATTAGAATATACCAGATCCATGATACTGTAACAAGGAAACTTGTTACTCTATCATGGATCTGGTATACTCCAACGGTTCTTTTTTTTTTCGATGTACACAACTTCATCTCTACATTTTCTGCTACCTCTTTTCCTTGCTCATTGCATATCACAAACAGTAATCGAAGTATATTTGCTGAAAAATCCAACATCTCTTTTATTTAATTAGAGACAATCGCCCTTCCTTCAATAAAGTGGGTTATCATCAATTTTCGTCGAATTAATTAGCGAATAGATAATGAGAGAATAACGAATGATTTTGATGTATACGTAAATTTTACATTCAAACTCATAAATAGTGAATCTTAAGGTATGTCAGAAATATTTGATATGATAAAAATACGTCCCTGTGAAACGCAGGCATGTTTACTCTAGTTTTTCAATGCTCACTAGAAAGTCGTGATGTCTGTGTAGCAATTTAATGAATTTGTTAAATGACGCTGACTATTTATTTAGTGTTCCTAGAAAAGTGTATATTTAAAGTGCCACGGAAACGCTATCGATGGATATCACTAATGGATAACGTTAATAGATAGTTTATACAAAAACAGTAATGGAATTTAGAATCGAATTAAGAAAATACAATCCACTTGAGATGAGGATTAAGTTAAGCAATAAATCAATCAAAGATGCGCTACTTTACATGGCGAGGTTTAGACCGACTGCTCTTCTGCCACACCAGGCGCCCCGATATTTTCGCTACCTAGCAGTGTAAGAAGGTATCCCAAGGACGACGAAACAGGAAACTTAAATTTAGCTTCTTTTAGACTTGAGGATCTTTTACATGCAGAAAATCTACAACATGGAACAGCCGCCTTTACTTTCCCTCCGTAGGAAAGCTTCTTCATCGCGATATAAGTCTGCGTAGGAAAGCATACAAAGGATTTTGTCTTTTTTTTAAATCCGTGACTTTAATCGGGTTTGAACATGCGAACTTCGGTACACCAGTCCCAACTACATTGCATCTGGAGTTAGGTCTGGGCAGCACAAGCTTATGTTTCATCTTCATCGTGATATAAGTCTGCGGGCCACATCTGACCCTCGCCCTGCCACCATCCGTAATCTCCTTTGAGTGGTTGAGCTTAGCCCTGCTGCAGAAGTTCGAAATCTTACTGACGTTCGTCTTTCCCATATCTCTAAAGATTAACTTCCCAACTTAAAAAGAAAGCCTATCCATCTCATTACCAAGGTCTGCTTCTGACAAGAACGTCGTCTTGATTTCATTAAAAGAGGCGGTGTCGTAATATGAAGCTTATTACGCTAGAAGTAAATTAAAGGAGAAAGTTTGTATAAATACAGATGGAGAGGAAAAAAAGCTATACAGCCGTGAGGCAAGATGTACGTTTACATCAAGAAAATGACGCTCCTTAGTTTACTTTCCATTTCAATTTTTAGTGCTCTGGCCGTCACAATGCTGCACATCTGGTGCTGCGATATCGCGAAGCCTTTTTAAAATACGTTGTGGGAAGTGTAACTTTTATATCCGATGAAAATCAATTATAAACTTTCACTGTACCCGCCACAATCCGCTGACGTCCACTAATTATAAGTTTCTATTTATTCACAGTGTATTAAAAACTGTGTAAAATCCATTTCTGCCAATTAAAGGACACTTTGTGCTGGAATTGGATTTACGATTCGGCAACGAATTTTATACCGCTCATTACTTTTTGTGAGTTAAAAATACAATGATGTGCGAAATGGCTGCGGTATATTAACGTTTATGAGTGAACACGTTTGATCAATTTTTGGAAGATAGAAGAAGATGGTCATTTATGATCACTCATAACAAGAGAACTTAGAATTTTATAATAGATAATAATTGTCGCATATATATTATAAACACGGAAGGATATATGTAAAGGGATAGTAACTCATATGAAATCTGTTTTTTTATGGAGATCTACATAGGAGATTTATTTGACATTATTTTGACTCTTAATAAATAAGAATAATTTCTTGCATAAAAATAAATATGATTCGATTTTTGTAGGTAATATTTCGAGCACCGGATTTGATATTTTATCTGCAGAAGTTGAATTAAATTATCACAGCTTATGAAGAAAGGAGATGACACAGTATATTCATTATACAACTTTGAGATATTTTCAAAAACCGTTTCATTTTGGGCCGGTATTTCACTTCATCCTTTGCTGAATAAAATACTCCTTTCGACGATTATTAGAAAGGAATCTTGTTTCAACTTCTTTGAACTCTTAAAAGGGATGAATTAAAATTTTCTACATTCTGTTGCATTTGTCGTGGAAATTTAAAATATACTTTGAAATGAAAACATTTCGTAGGAGCAGTCAAGTGTCATGCAAAATGAACGTTTGAAACAACATTTTATCACTAAGTAATTATACTATTGTAATAAAATACCTACTAATTTGCATTAAATACAAATGACCACGTAAGTCACATTAATGATTCTTTTCAAAACAGACAGTATACATTGTTAATATAATTTAACATAATCAAGAGTTAAAATAGTTGCTGACGTGACTGAACAGAATATTAATGATACCTTTATTTACAACCGAACATCTTATTTGAGAGGAATGGGGAACTGTGTTCTTGTGAACATTCTTCAAGCGGTTGAATAACAAAACAATGGAGAGTAACAGAAAATCAGCACAAGTTAGCCACAGTTCGCTAATATAATGAGAATACTTTCTTCGCGTTGCTTACCTACCACACCTACCAACATAATTCAGCCAAATTGAGTGTCAAAATGATCGCTGAAGGGACTGAATCGCGCTGAGCACCTCATTAGAGAAGAGTGCGGAGCTCACCTCGTACACTGCACCCAGCGGCATGACGAGGCACGCCACCATGAGGTCCGCCACGGCGAGCGAGACGATCAGGTAGTTGGCGACGTTCTGCAGGTTGCGCTCCAGCAGGATGGCGGCGATCACGAACACGTTGCCTGCAACAGTTGCGTGCGACAGACCAGTTAGTTGGTGTATGGTACATTGGAGTATCAAGGTAAAACCGGATGTGTTGGCTCACAACTTTTACTTGGGGGTTTAGTGGAGTTTTTCTATCGAGGTATCTCCCCCTAAAAGGCCACCGTCTAATCCGGGCAAAGCTCTAAACCCGAGTAGTCTCCTGACATGTGAGGTTGTGTAGTGCTTGTGGGCATGCGTGTGTAAGTAAGGGGTGAAGACAGGGCAAGGAAGAGGAAGGAAAGGTTGTGCGCTCTTCGTGACCCGTTTGGTAGTCCCGCTTGTTTGTAGATCGAAAAAAACATGGAAAAGTACCGATCAGAGCAGTGGAACGCCAGAATTCTTCTTCATACAGCGTCTGAACTATTTAATGTCGAAAATCCTGAAGTACTATATAATTTTTATCAAACTTTTTTAATCTTCTATTCGTTGTTTCAAACACTGGAAACTTGATGGAAGTAATTAATCAGAAAATATTCTTGTCTTCATTAGTGTCTGACGGTGTATAATAATTCGAAGTCACGAGGCACCGTAATGCGTACGTTCTTTTCTGATCAAGACTGACATTTTCTGACGACCTGAATGACATTTTCATTTCATAACATATAAAAAATTAGAATATCGTTAAAGTATTGAAGTAAAGTAAAACCAAGGACAATGTTTTTTACTTTTCTATTTCTTGTGCTATTCTGTTGAGAACTATGTAAGGAAGCACTCTATACATCATTCAACTTTCGTTTTTCCAAATTGGAACATTTCACATAATGGTGATAGTCACTATTCTGTCTAAAAAGCAGTAATGCACTGCCTACTAAATTAATATGAAATGTTTTCACACTCATACAAAATAATGTAATGCCGGAAAGAGAATATAATGAAAAGAAATTAAATTTAAGAAAACAATACCAGAAATAAACGTGTACCTATACTCGAACTCTGTTTTCCAAAGCGAGTAACCCATTGTCATCGAAAAATGAAAGGCTGATATAAGCCATTATAAACTAGTTTAAAACTTCATTTCGGCCCGCGTCACCGAACTTCCTTTGTAGAGTTAATATGCAATACATTTTGCCTGCTATACATTTTATGGTTACATTAACACTGTGCTCATTATATTGTATCGCAATGCACATCGTTTAACGAGTAACATGAGGTTGTTTGTCCTCTCGCAGTACACAAACTATATTCATAACTATCCTTTATCTCCTGTGCGTGAGGCACAGGAGGCGCGTGCGCGGGCTGCAGTGTTGCCAGACATACCGGGTTTCTGTACCAAGATTTTAATGAAGATACCATGTAAACTTTTTTATTCATTAATTTAAAACTAACATCAATATGACAAATAACTAAGATATTGCTGAAAAAACTACCGTAAAACATTAAGGGTGACATTGAATAGGCGTTTTCTAGTACATACTGTAGTAGAAAATAATGGAACGCCTAAGCATGATAAAACTTTCCACCATGCGTCTTAGTCTTCCATTTAGTTAATCGATATAAAATGAATTGATATCGAGTTGAGTTTAACGAACTGCCTGTGCGCGATAAAAACATAATAATTATAATATGAGCAACTTCAGAACTAAAAACAATTGGAATTGGCACCACAATTTTAATGGAAGTACCAGGATTGTTGAAGATTGGTATCGGGATATACAACACCAGAATCTCGTTTCCCTACTTTCCCAACTCAATTTAAATATCAATTGATGGTTGTTCATATCACATCTGCATTTCCGTTTTCTACGCGTTTTCGGCCAAGTCTTCATTTGTTGTTATCAGTCGCCCCGTAAAAAAATCATCAAACATGTCTGTGCACATGATTTCAGACCTTTTATTAAATAAATTTATTTCTTTACGTATCACATATTGCGATCTGGCACAATACCCCCTCCAGACTGTTATAATTTGTTTCTCAAATTACTAATATTCGATAAAATATTACTCTACCAAACCATGTGGCAACGCTGGCGGGCCGAAATCGCCAGTTAGTCGAAGCGACATCTCGTGCGCTCCGGCGACCGTGCGGGCAGATGACCTTTCGCGAACTCCGCGCGATGAGACAACGCTGTATCTGATTCGGGGAAACGCGTTTGCGCCAGGCTGCGAGCACGCGTCCGGACACACCGAAGCAACTCGTAATGAGATCCCGGGCCGCGGGTCTGCGGCGCCGGCAGCACGCAGCGCTGCGCGGCGGCCGGCGCGCCAACTGAAACACCCGCCGTTCGCGTTGCTTCCAAATTGAGTCGAAAGACACGGCTCGTATAAAAAAAAAGTTATTGCAAGGGCTGTTTTAAAATAAATGTTTTTTTAAGTCAAGGGTGTGTAGGGGATATCAAAAATAGGTTTTTAAAGCCACTAGTAAAAGCGGTTCTTTCTGAACATAGATAGCGTACTAAAAATTCAATTTATTTCACTAGTGATAAAAGTGGGACGGTACTCAAGGATTGAGATAAATCAGGAATGCATCAAAGACAAACAATACTTTTGTCAAACCGCTTCAGTTACTTAATGACCTTACTGAATCATTGATTAGTTTTCGTGAAAATAATCTGTAAAGGCAGAAAAAAATCAGTAAGGCGGTTTGAAAAATAGTGTATGACACACGTGGTAAAAGTGATTTTATTTTCTCCGTAAGATTGCGTCACTTGGCCAGATGGTCTTGTGTCGTAACATTTCCTATTCGAAAAATAAAATTTACCAGTGGATGACATTTATGATACGACTGGTAAATAATATTTTCTACGACCGTATAAAAATGCATTCTTCTACTTATTGCTACGCATGCGTAAAGTTAGTAGTTTCTTAAAATATCTGAAAAGCTTGCAGACACGTGCGTGAATAATGTTTTTTCACGGTGATATCACAGTACGAAAAAGATTTGAAGGCACGGTAGGTAGGTTACTGGAGAAGTAAGGAAATAAAGCCTATTAATGGCAAAACAACGTAATTTCACTATTGTTAAATTCTTCCTAATAACTATTTACATACATAAAATTAACACTTAATATGTATAGAGTATGTCACAATTATTACATTATGTTTCGTGATGAAACCCGTTACAACTCATTAGATGTTCACAATTTTTTCAATTAATGTTAGATTTTCATAAGTACCCTAGAATTTTGGGGGTAATAAATTATATACGAGCAACTTTTCAACAGTTTTTGTTGATCCATTGAACAAATGCTAAAGTGACTCTTGTTTTGCTTCTGACATAAATGTCCTCACTATCATCACACGCTTTATTGAGCTCTATGGTCTGTAAATACATTTATTCAAATAATCGTTCTCCTTTTTCTCAGTACAAAGTCGTAGACTTTCATTGGGAACGATAAGGGGTAAAAAATTTGCAACTCAATTGTCATAGCAGATTGTTATTATACACAAGAGGAAATAATTCAGGTTACCGAATCTTGCCAAACTCTTTTGTTTCTACCTGTATCCATAACACAACTTCCAATACTCTAAGTGCTAGGGATGAAATTCCAAGGCGTAAGAAAACGTTCCAAGATTGTAATTCTCCCCCATACGTCACAGTTTTTAAAAGATTTTCGATGTTTAATGGTGAGGAAAAACTTACGATGAAAAACAAAAGCGGCGTTCCTGTCGATAAGAACGGCATGTGGTTGGTGTAATTCGCACCTACTGAGTTCATCTACGTTCGTCGCCTAGATCACCGAGCGAGCCTTATTAATGGAAATTTCATCAGAGACACGTATGATGAAAGTAATTTTAAGAGATTTATTATTCAATTAATACGGTATGCAGATAGCGGGATTATACCTATGCACCGCGGAATAATGGTGGAATAATTTTAACGGTGAAGCTGGGAGCTCATGAAAATGGAGCTGAGGAAGTCCCTTGTTAGAACCATTTGCCCTCGAACAGCAGCGAGGAAGGGACGGGGAAGAAGGCAAACGAGATAGGACAGAGTAGTAAGATGTCGAGGAATAGAATATTGTGGTGGTTTTGCGTGAAAGGTTCGATTGAATAGAAAGAGTGACACCCGAAAAGAAATTCCGAATACCTTAATGCCCAAGCTATATAACACAGTCATGTCAGCGGACGATTATTTTGAAAAAAAAAAAAGTTCAAAATCGCCGAAAAGGGCACCGCACGGCAAAATGTATCCTTCCGCAAGCGTGGTGATTTGAGCTCCAGCTGCTAATTCAGTGAGAGTTGTTGGATGTTAGAGATTGTTTCCATCAGTGGTTTTGTAGGTTATTCTCACGATGTAACTCACTAGCTATCTAGTAGAATTCAGCTGATGTCTGAAGGAGAATTCTAGCGGCCGGTTGCTCTAAACGATTTTTTTTTCGTGGTTTCTCAATCAACAGCAGGCAATTGTTGGAATAACACCCTAACAAAATGGCCACAAACAGCGCAATATGTTCCCTTCCGCTTCCTAGTCCTATCCTCAACCCTTGCTTACACCCAGATGTCAGGATATCAGTCTGGAGCTTAGAGCTTGCTTCGACTGGGACGGTGCCCCGCTGGTGGGAGATACCTGGGTAGAAACAATGCGAAGGGGTATGAAAGTTGGCGCCGGATCTCTCCAATCAACAGAGGTTGAAACCCGCCCCTTCCCTTCATAAAACATTCACCTCACTAACGGAGCTAATGACCATAACCGCTATTGCAACCCGGAAACAAAGTAGTCAATCAATAAAAAATTGAAGGAAATTGTATGGTAGAGAAATTAAGTGAGATCTAGCCCATTGTGTATCTTAATATCAGCACAACTTAGCCAACGTAAGTGAAATTAATGCGAATTATTTCTTCATGTTACTCACCTACCACGTCACTAATTTAGTTTGGCATGAATAAGTAACAAAATGATTGCTCATCCGTCTGAGACTCTGTATAACAAGTAGAAAGTATTACGTTTCATGTGTGCAATCAGTGTGATATTTTTAACAAGCATGGTGAACCATTATCTTTATTTAAGTCATTGGATTGTCATTGTACAGAAGTGGGACAATATTCTATGTTGTTTTATTTGTTTTCCTGTACGTTTTGAAGTTGACATTGTTTCTTGAAGGAGACAATAAACTCGTTTACGACACAATAGAAAGAAAATGAATCGTCTACTTTTGGCACAAGCTATATCTTCTGAGCTCTTATGAAAATCAGCTTTTATTGCCTTGATTGATTGATTGTTACTGATTCCAAGCACGTCAACTACTTAGATATTACTCCCGTAAGTGTACTGTATGTTTTTGCTTGAGCAGTGGTCTTTCCCCCGCTATGTGGCAAGATTCGGCGCCGAAGTACTGTCGACTAGCGGACTTTTCCCCTACCAGGTATCTCCCAGCAGAAGTGTACGACCCCCAGCCGGGACACGCGTTAAGTCTCCCTGTATGTGTGTAGTGTACTGCATGTTAGTGTGTAAGGGTGAGGATAGGTCAAGGAAGAGGAATAAGGTAAGATCGCGCGCGGTCCATGACCGGTTTCTTACGGTACCGCACCTTCATTCGCCTCGTATTAATCGGAGAAACCCACGGAAAACTACCGATCAGAGCAGTCGACCGCTAGAATCCTCCACCAGACGGATTGAATTCGACCTGCCTGACAAGCTAGTGTCGAAAATCCTTTCATTGCCTTCTTCGGCCACATTTTTGTAATTTGATTTTCTTCGCCCTGTCAATCTCACATAAGAGTTCTACGGAAGTAATTTCCCGACATAAAGAACTTTTCAAATAAGAATACACTTTGTCTGTGTTGTACCAAGATTCTCCTTGACTTAGCAAAGAAACGAGATATTGCAGAATGAAAGCATGGCGACCGCGCCACGCCCGTGAGGCAGCTGGCAGCCAAAGCGACTCCTGCAAATGGAGGCAGTTCGTCGCCGGAGGTGGGCGGCGCGACACACCCGGGTGCGTCAGGGCGCCATCAACGGATATACACTCGTGGAGCGGGAAAGGAGACCACAAGAAAACGCTCCTGCCAGTCTTTCATTTCGTGCTCTGAGAGCATTTGCCGATTGTTGATATGTTAATATTTCGTGATGTTTTTTTGAAATAGTCTAATATTTACGTACTAGCATCTTGCTTATTTAACTGTACAAATATCGCATTTACCAAATTGATAATATATTTTTTTCTCATGGAAATTTGATTTAAAAATGAAATTTTTGAATAACTCATGAACCATTTTAGAAAATATGAGTAGTTTCAAACTATGATGATCCAAACTATGCATTTTCAGAGTGAAAACAAAATAGACTGTATCAAAGTGCTCAAGAATGTATATTAAAATGAAGTAAATGGAGTAATGCCTTTATTTTAGTTTTATTACTTATCTTACATTTAGTTCGCTATAATATTCAAGGATTCTTGACCCGTTGTAATTATTCTTGTGGTTCTTGAGTTTGGATCAATACAATAATATAACATCTTTAAGTTGCTGATGTTTTAGTCATATATTTGGCCATCATCAGAGCTGTATGTGTATTGTACAATCTATAAATTACGGTTTTTGTAGTTATGTAAAATTGAACTGTTCATGAGATGTTTACAAGTAATGATTTACGTTACTCCATTGAATGATTATTTATATTTTCTTGTCTTTTTTCGAATTGCTCTCATTGTCACATGTGTTATCTCTACTCGCTGCAAACATGTTAAAAGCCTGCTCATAAGTGAGCAAACTACTATGGTTTCATATTTCTTCTTATGCCTACTCTTCCTTCTTTCGTTTTGTTTACTTTCTTGCCTTTTTTCTCTTCATGGGCGACGCTTATATCGTGCTCTGTGTTCCCCGTTCTCTGTTCTCTCTCCAGCTATTTCTCCCGCGCCGCTCCCATCGCGCCCGTCCCCCTCCCCCTCCCCCTCCACAAACGACGTCGTTTTCGTAACGTCCCCTGAATATCCCGCCACTTCTCCGGGAAGTAAAAACGGCTCCTGGAGGAGATATACATTCCCCTGGAATTCTTCTCCGGAGTTTTCCTCTCACCAAAAGCCGACGGCTCTCCTCGGCGAGAGAAGTTCCACGAGGAAGAAAATTAAGAGGCGAAGTATCAACAAAATAATTCAATACGACTTCTCCAAGAAGGGTTTTAAGGGAAATGAGAAATGGGGTGTTGTTTATCTCGGTCGGACCAAACTCCAGATACGAGATTTAAGTCGTTTATCATGTGCTGGGTTGCCAGGTGGCACTATTTTGTAGGCGTACTTGCGCCAGAGGCAAGATCCGTTCAAATGTCCAAGGTTGCAGGTTCAAAAAAGATCTGACTGCTATACATGTTGGGACGATAATGAAAATGGACCTGATGTTAGTAATGTAAGCTTGTTGTTATAAAATAACATCAAATTACTGTGTTTTTTCTGTTCTTAGCAACGTTTCTTTGTTTTTAGTGCTCGGAATTGTTTGTGAATAATAAAATGGGTTATGGGATTAAACGTTTTACCTTTAATTGGCTACTGATGTATTTGGAATTTTGGTCGACCGTTCGATTTTACCGATTAGCTTATGGCGTCCCCCATGCTTGGGCCTAGTTTAATTCTCAGGCTTGGGGGGGGGGGGAAATAAGAGAGAAATGTGACGAATGTGACGTATTCCCTTTACCGTAATTAGCGAAATCCTCCTACCTGAGCTTTTCTTCGGTACACAGCTACAGGAACTGAGGCGATTATGAAGGAAAGTTACAACTATCTTTGCCTCGTCCGAGAATCGAACCCAAGATAATACCCTGGGAAGCTGGGAAGCCAAATCCTGGGGGACGGATTTGCTACTTGTATATTCAGAAAAGGGAATATAAATTATGTTTATTAATTATTATTAAATTAATAGTTAGTAATTAATAATAAATTATTAATTAAAATATGTATTATGTAATTCGAGTAATATTATAAAAGCATGTTTGATAAATATGGTGCCATAAATCCTGCACCACTTCCTATTACTAGATTAACGTTACGAGATTTGGTATTTGTCTCGTGATATTTAATAATCACATTTGATGCCATCTGTTTTAATAATCAATAATTTTTTCTGACACAGCATGAACGTATCTATAAAGAGGGTCGTTAGTTGCAAACGTTACTTTATAGCTCAATTTGACGTTTGCCAGAAGTTACAGCGATTTCGAAATGTCTTCTCACTGATTTAATATTATTATTTATTGGGCGCAGTTGCAAATTTCTAAGAATATAACGTACGAACAAATGATCATGCATTTTGTAAATAGGAATTACGCCAATCTGTATAATTATTGTTTGATTATATGAAATTATGAAACTACTGTTTAAGGGTCAACGAGGTTCATTAATTTCTTGATAGAAAACGAATGTTTTTTTAGGTACAAGGCAATGTAAAAATTCATATTGCAAACAGAAAATTAAAATTATAATTTGGTAATAAACATGTTTGTATTGCACATAAAACATAGTCATATTGGTTGCATTAAGTAACATTTTATATCCTTTTCCTTAATACATTTTCAATAATAGTACCTGGTGTTTCTTAATTGAATAAAGCCCAGAGAAAACATATTGTTTCCAACCCGACTTTTATGATTGGTTGATTAGTGATTCGGAGGCGTCAACTGCTAAAATCATTAGTTCTGTAAGCATAGTGCATGCGTTTTCTTCGACTGAGCTTTCTTCGGGTGAGAGTTTCATTCCACCGCTGGATGGTGAGATCCGGTGTCTACCTACCGTCGGATTTCCCCAACCAGGTATTCCCCCACCAGCGGGGCAACGCTCCAGCCAGTACAGATTCTAAGCTTCTAACGGGTCTCCCTGTAAGTGAGGTAGTGTAGCGTGTTTAAGTGTGTGTGTAAGGTATGACGTTAGAACAAGGAATGGGAATGAAAGATTGCGAGCGATTCGGGGCTCGTTTTGTTAGAGTACTGCTTCGGCATTCGTATGGTATTGGTCGGAGAAACCACGAAAACTACCGATCACAGCAGTCGGACCCTAGAATTCTTCTACAGACAGCGTCTGAATTCGACCTAGCTATCTAGCTAGTGCCTACAAGTCTGCCGCTGACAAGGCCTCGAACTTAGAACCTGTTAGACAGAGGCACTGCAGTGACATCAGTTGATGCCGTGAGCTTTCCAACCTTCCCGGCTATCCAACTCAAACCATTTCGAAATCTTACTGCTTTTTCGAAGAAATCTACTTTTCTAATTTCTTACTAACTTCTTCAGACCGTTTCAACCCCTTAATCAGGTTGGAAACTAGTGTGGGGGCGAGGATAACCATCCTCTACGCTGCGGTGTCTTTGGATCGGGTCGGGTCGGGTCGGGCTGCGTCGGGTTCGCCTATGCAAACGAGCGCGGCGCGGCGCCCAAGAAAGTAATAATAATAATGAGCGGATGGAACTGGGCGTTCCAAAGGCGACATCGTTAACGGGCTTTGGAACTAATAATCCCTCTTTTACTTATAGCAGCTTACAGTCTCCTCGGGGGACTCCCCGTCAAAGAAACTCAAAGCTGCGTGGGTGACGCGCGTGAGGCGGTGAAGGAGGACGGAGAAATGCGCGGATGAGGAGGAGGGGCAGAAGAAGCAGGGGGAGGGAGGGAGAAGGGCTGAAGGAGGTTCTTTATTATTAACTCCCGGGAGTGAAGATGCCCGTGCAGCAGACGCACACGACGGGCTTAGGTGTCTCAGGGCATCAAGTAGTGACACTGTAGTGCCTCTGACCGGGAAGTCCTAGTGTCCGAGTCCCGACGGTGTCAGGATTTTTCACACTACGTAGCTACCAGGTCGACTTCAGCCGCCGTTTGGGAGAAAATTCTAGCGGCCGGTGGATCTGATCGGCAGTTTCCAGTGGTTTCTCCAATCAGCACCAGAGGAACGCCTGAGCAGTACGCTAAGAAACGGGCCCGGTCAACGTGATATCTTTTGTTCCTCTTTCTTGCGCTGTCGTTATTTAGACACACTTACACGCACTACTAAACTTCCACACACTTTGGCAGACTGGGGTGGTTCCCCGCTGGAGGAGGTATCTGGTTGGGGAAAATCCAGCAAGTAGTTGTGTAGGTCGGCGCTGGTTCTCGCCACCTACCGAGGCAATATCATCGCCACCGTTCGCGATAACAACATGCACTACACTTACAGGTATGATGGTCTTAGAAGTTGATAGCCCAAAAACACGAATTATTCAATCAACCACAGGCACTCGGCACTCTGGCCGCAGTTGTTGAGAGTTTATACACACCGGTGCTATATGTTCGACATTAGTTACATAGCCGATGGCATTCAACCGCTGCAGAATCAACGATTTCACGCGGAGAAAAATCTAGCTATAGGCTACTCTGATAGACAGGATTCCGCAGTTTCTTCGCTCTATAACAGGCGAATGCGAGAGCAGTACCCTAAGAGACGTGTTACGAACCTTGCCAATCTTCCTTTTCTCATTAATGTCTTCTTCTCTCGCCCTACACGCATTATCGTATACCCACACGAACATACACACCTGCACTACACTCTCTCTTGTCCAGTTGTGAGCGGTACCACCCTGGAGGTAATACCTGTAGAGGAAAACACGTGAAGAGGATACGTAGGTTTATGCGGGATCTCATGTTGCAGCGAGGAGGAAACATCGCCACCTCCTGCGAATAACATGCACTACACTTTCAGGAATATTGACCTCAATGGTTTACGAGATTGGTATTATTCATTCTGCGTCTCTCACTCCCGGGGGTGACGGCCGTTCACCACAAGCTGTCGAGACTCCAATCTCTGTTCTCAAACCTTTTACATATTGATAATGGAATAAATACAAGGGCATCACAAATTCTCGAGTGTTCGTGATTTGTGGTCGTAGATGGCCCTCGATCAGCATTACTAAAAGCGTCTTAAACGGAGATCCCTCCTTTGTTAGAGCTGTTGGCTCTGGTGATGGGAGGTGACGGTGGTATGAGATGGAGATTTGGAGAGGACTCGACCCTTGGGATGTTTTTCACGGGGATGGGGGCGGAACGGTGAATGGAAAAGCGATTTTACATGACATAGTCATGAGTGGCAGATTATGGTTTCGAAGAAAACGCGGGGAAATGTAGACTTATTTTGGAACTTCAATACTATTTTGAATTTCTTTTTCTGAATTTGTCCATATTCTTGCGAGCTTTTGCTGTTCTAGGAGGTTTCGGAAATGTACTACAAAAATTGAACGATAAAAAATATAGCGAGTTAAGCTAGTTTGAATATGTTCTCACAACATGAATTAATGAAATTCATTGAAACGTAATAGTGCACAACTCATTGCATAGTGATTCTCAAGCATGAACAATGTTCGCTTTCTTCTTTAATTTTCAGGATGTGTAGTGATTTACTAGAATATTGTTTCTGGAATATTTGCTTTAGCAGGAACATCTTCCTCATCAGTTCCTTTCTACCTACTCCCTGGCAAGACGAGTGTTTCGGTCGTTAGTTACGCGTACAAAAATTCATTTAGTATTTTTGGCAATTCTCACTTGATTTTTTTTATTTTCCATATCATTCATTCAGTCTTTGTGCTTTTATCATTCTCAAAATGATTTGTTTATTTATTTGATTCACTACAATTTTTTGACTCAGAAAGATCATATATCATAACAAAACGAGTATTGGGGCGCTATTTTGAGCGAACGCATACCTGTTCTCTTCCCATTGCTCTCTTTATGTAGATGCAAATAAGTTAAGAAGGAAACTTGCCTACTCGTAGACTTAACACGTTTAGTGAACTTCACTAAAGTACTATTTGCACAAGTGCTAAAGCAGAGTATAATCGCAATGGTGCCCATCACTATCATTTTTCGTTTAGTTTCGTGGGGCAAATGCTGAGATGGCTCGTTGTTTTCATTGTGGATGATAAATATAATTTTTTTCTAAATCTAATATAAAGTTATTAACTGTGTTTAACTTACTTCATAAATTAAAAACAAGTAATTAAAAAATATGAAAAATGGTTGTACATCTACAGTAGTATAGTTATCATTGCGTTTTAGAAGTTAGTTCTTACATTTAACTGTATTTTTATTATACTGCTTACTTATTTATTTCAGTCTTTGCCGACTATTTAATTTTTTTTGGAAATTACTGTTATTACCGAAGTTATTGTTTATATTCGGAAGTGAGGGTCGATAATTTTAGTTATTTACGACTATTTTTTACAAAAAGGTACGTACGCCCAAAGATATTGGCGACTGAATAGACCTGGCTGCCAGGTCGCGCTGCTTCCGGTGGCACGGAAGCAAGTTAGTGTAGCCTAGAGGCGGCTGCGCGTTGCAAGGGATCCCCCAGTAATGAGCTCGCAGCGTCTCGAGTTTCTCTTCCGGGGGCACCTGGCGCGGAACGCACTGCTTCCCGCGACACACTACACCTCCCGGGCGGGGGGGGGGAGGGCGGCCTCGTCTCTTCCGCCGACTTTCACTCGACATTCGCCTGTCCGACTTCACTCCCACGTCTCCGCGGAGTTCGACCCCGAAATAAAGGAAGGCGGGATATTGGATACCGTACTCACTCAATCGCGGAGGGGGCGTGGCCAGAGCGTTCTGCGGTGAAGTAGGAGGGGGGGGTAGTGGAGAGGTGAACGTCACCCGATGGGATCCGATAGGCGCCTGAGCTAGAGAGCTACGAAACCCGAATCTACCCCACCCCGCCCCGTCTCTCTTAAACCTCCTGCCTCGCTCGTGCAAGGCGGGACTGCTCAGGGTGAGAGGAAATTCGTTGCACAGTGGGCGAAAGCGGAGAGAACCACGCAAAAAGAAATTATAGACGCAAAAGATTGTTCGAAAATTCGTAACTTTTATGAGATTAAGAGGGAGAGCAGAAATGCTTGAGAGGTATCTGGTGACAGATACCGTGATAGGGAAAACCGGTCCAAAAGTCGACTTAAGTTTCGCGCTGGATCTAGCCATCGATCAGGGGAAGAATATAGTGACATCCTGTGTTAAATACATGCACTACACTTTGGAAACTTAGAATTTGATTCGCTCGTAAACATAAATACTCAGAGTCAGTCAATAAATACTTAAAGGGAAATATTCTTTATAAGCAATTAAAATTGTACTATTTTAAGCTGGAGTAATTTTAATCTCATGAATGATTATATACAACTGAGAATTCAGTTGCGTGAAGAGAACACTTCGTATTGCGATGTACTTTATGTCTAAAACGAGTTATTATGGCATTGGAATTCGCTGTCACCGTGTAAATAATTGATAACAAACAGAGACTTCGAGAAAAAAAACGAATTATTTTCGTTTCGTGTTTAACTTTTATTTCTGTAAATAAAACTCTCCTCCCGGTAGAAACGATTGTTTGAAAGTATCAGAATATCTCTGTACACTCTATCATTTTAGTCTCAGAATGACGCTTGACACTACTGAAACAGGAAATAATTCCAGAAATCGATAATGAGAGAACAGAGATAACAAAATACATTAAAAGCTAAACTTTTTGAACAAATTACATCACGAAAGCACTCATTTCATATTACATTTGGAATACTCCGATGTCAATACACATCTGTCTTTGACATTCTTCAACATTCTACCTGAACATTTCTATGAACTTTCAAACTTAGTAGCGATATATATGAATAAAGGAAAACGTCAAATCAAACGTATTACTACAAGAATGAATAGTTTAGTAATATTTACATAAAAAGTATCGTTCACACAAGGCTTGTGGGCTAGAATACGGAAACGAGTTTCCATTGTATTGTAGCAATGCATTGGATCATCGTTGTGTCGATATTATCTCCACACTACCGGCATTTCTCCTAGACATTGTTCAAGAAAAGTTACGCGCATAATATTATTTCCTCAAATATAAGTTCACGATGAAAGCCAGTAGCGCATTCTATTAATAATCGACAATAAAAGTCCAATAATGAAGTTACGCCCCAGGATGTTCTTATCACTGTGAATGAACCTTTCAAGTTGCTCAAAGATGAGCGGATGAAATTCGTTCAGGAAGAAATGTTCACTAACGGTGACACCTTGATATCCATGTGATGGCGTTGCAATTGAGGCCAAAGAATGAAAAAACACCATTTGTTGACAACAACGCCAATTTCTTGAAAACATCAGAGAAAGTGGAGTTTTTATGAATCAGGAAGCTTTTATGACATGGCGTGAGAAAGAATCCGGTACACTACGAACACTCGACCCCCTTATTTCATCAACACTTTGTGTGTAAGCAAAAACATCAATATCTCTCGCACCATAAAATATACTTTCTTTTCCGTTCTTTACCATTGTTCTTAATACTTCCTAGTCAAACTCATAATGTTTTATTTGTATTGTGTTTACAAACACGTTTATTGGACCGTTTTCACTCGCACTTGAAATTATCGCCTTTAGGACTCCGGTAATATACACTAGACGCTTCCTGCAGAGTTTGGGAATCCTTCAGTCGTGAAGGGTTTGCGAGCAGTCTCAAGAGCTGCCCAGAGTACGCGTTGCTCACCATGACAGTAAACAACAGAACGGTGATGAACACTATTATCTGAGTAGTGTGTACCGACTGCTCTGATGAGTACTTTTCCGGGGTTTCTCCCATAAACACCAGGTGAATGACGGCGCAGTAACCTAACGAACGGGCCACGGACCACACGCGATCTTTCCTTCCTCTTTGTCGTCATATCCTCTCACCTTACTTACACATACTTACACTAACATGCACAACAATGTCTCACATGTTGGGAGACTGGTAGGGAGCTTAGAGCTTGTTCTGTTGAAACATTGCTTCTCTGGGTTTGGATATCTGAATGGAGAAAGCCCCGCAAGCCGACAGGGGGCGGACAGCGTCGGTTATCACTATGCAGCGAGGGAAGAACGCTGTCACCTCCGGTGATAATAACATGCACTACATTATGTGGATAATGACACAGTAGTTTATGTGCCCGAAAACACGAAATAATCAATGAGTCAATAACTTGCGTTCCGTCGGTTTAAAGCGACCCCTTATTTATGTTGCCACTATTTGGAAGTGAGCGCCTCGCTCAACCTCGATGACCCGCGTTTGGATTGTCAACCAAACTGCTTTATAACTGAATAACACTGATAAAGTTCCCTGTGTCGCACCTTCGCGAGCGACTCTCAACTCTTGGAGTCCGCGCCCGATAAATGTGTGAAGTGAAGCACGTAAGTAACTGGGAGTTACTTTCTTTTAAATTTCGGATTTCAGTATTTGGCTTTTTTCACTGTGCGTCTTTCCTCCGTGAAAGGTCTCCAAACCTACTCGAGTCGCAAGAGAGGCCCTTTTGTTATGGGAATTACGCTTTGGCACGAAAATTTACCAATCAGATCTGGAATTATCCTCCAGACAGCGACTAAATTTGGTCTAGCTATCTAGCTAGTGTCGAAAATCTTGCCATCGTCGGGTCTCGAACCTAGGCCTTCCCGGTCAGAAGCACTGTAGTGCTACTGATTATAGATTGGAGGTGTAAGGAAGAACTAGAATACTACCACCAAGCGCTGGTCTGACTCATGGCCAACATACGAAAACTATAACCCTTGTCTCCCTCTACCTGTCCTCTGCATTTGTGAACTATCCCCGAAATAGTCTATGCGTATTATGTATTAGACGTAACCGGTTGGTAGAGAGAAATTTTTTGTAATGCTGCGAATGGTTTTGGCAACTTTTTGACCCACTGCGAGATGGTGGGGTTGACCTCTCCCAGAGGATATTTCCGAAAACACAGGGCGAGCAAGTGTAAGAATGAGTGAGTGTGAGAGATAGATAGATAGATAGATAGAGAGAGAGAGAGAGAGAGAGAGAGAGAAGTCAAATAAAAAAATAACTTCTCATGCCTGGTGTATCTTACCGTCTCTCGTTTCGCCGACGTCGAGCCGTAATTTCGAATTCGAAATACATTACGGCGCCGTGTATTTTAATCAATCATATTTGTATTGTGCGCGCCCGCAGGGGAAATCTCCGGGTTCGCTGCGGAGGCCACTGGCTGATGGAAGGGGGAAGCGGGGTTGGAGGGGATGAAGTGGGGGAAGGGGGGGCGAAAGACGGGACGGAGGTGCGGGGGTTAGACGAGTTGACTTTGAGAAGAACCGAGTAGACGTCAAGAAAATACAGTTCGTTCGGTGAAGAAAGAAGTGTGTAAGTGCTGCAGGAAAGCGGATCTGAGTGAACGGAGAAAGCAGAAGTGAACGAATGTGATAGGAGGAATTGTTGGAAAATAAAGTGTGCTGTTGCCGTGGGAGTTTATTTACACTGTGCTTAATGATACAGAAATGATGGATGTTACGGAATTTTTCATCATACACCTCAACGTTATCAAACGAGTTGTGTATTTATGTGGGGGTTATTGTTAATACATCCAAAATGCTAATACTTACTATAAGAACAGAATTCTTCAATGTAAATTCTGCGTGGAAATTACATAGAATTCATTTGAAAATCATCGAAAATGTCATCTCTGTGTCATCTCTACCTTTCCCCGCAGCTGCACATTCGGGTATGTGTTATCATCTAACAGTAACGTAATCTCGTTAGAATCTGGGTCGGATACTTACTCTTAACGTCTCAATTGTCTCATTACATGTAGTTACTTTCTTTATTTCTTATTTATCCATTACAATATACAATATGAATAGCAAAACGTATTTCTATATTTCGGCTCAAAGAGTTAAGGTGATTTAAATATGTTTGTGAGAAGTGTAAGCGCGAGTGAGAGCGCTATTCCACTAGTTGGCACTCTGGGGACCGAGAACGTTTACGATTTAGAACCACGGCGCCAGACGTTTGAATAAATGCGATTCGAAGTTCTTACCAAATTATGATGGCATATAAATACTGTCAAAAGTATTTTGGACATCATAGTGGTGTTTAAGGGGACATTATTACACACAACACGTCTTGAAACTCTTTGCCTTTGAAAGGAAAATATTTAAATAACCTTTTTTATACAAATGTGGGATGAGAAAGGATATGTGGTCTGAAACTGCTGAACCGTAGTTTATCTTTACCAGAAACATGCCACACAGAGTAGATACAAGAGAACATTTACAAGAAAGAAACATCTCAGAGGCCAATATGTTCCGATAACATGTGTCTAATTTAATGTGAATCGGTATCTCACGCTCAAAATTCGTCTCGTTTTTTGGCTTCCTGGCGTCATCTCCGAGTGTTTCAAAGAGCGGATGGTAGCAGCCATTAACTGGGGCTGTTCCAAAGGCGATCGCCGAGGGCGGGCGGTGAGGCCGGGGTTCTGGGATGGGGGTGAGGGTGGGGATGCAGCGACCGCGAGCGACATAGCACGTCTCCATGTTAAGAATCTATCTTCATTAAATCGCGCGCGATACAAACTCATTACGGAGGCCGCGCCTCGCAATCCATCACTGCTGTGCGCCGTCTGCGGCTCGCCTCTTCGCTCCCTTCCCCTTCCCTCTGGCTTTCCCCCACTCTGCTTCCATCCCTTCCTTCTCCATTACCCTCCCGCCCCTCTCTCCGCCTCCCTTGCTCTCTCCGCACCCCATTCATCTCTCCTGCCTGTTTATCTCTCCGCTCCCCTTCCTCTCTCTGTCCCCTCTCCACTCTCTTTGCCAGCTTCCGTCTCTCTTTGCGCTCTCCTCTCTCTTCGCTCCCCACCTCTCTTCGCTCCATTCCCTCGCTAGTTCTCATCGCCATTTCCTTTACCTTCTTAGTTCACCTTATTTTCTCTTTCCCCTTCCCTTCTCCCCTTCTCTTTTATGCCTTATCCTTACCCTTGACTCCTCTCGTTTTTCACTTCCTATTTTGTCTTCTCCCTTTTCCCCTTCCTCGCGACACAGTTTCCGAAGGTGACATCAATATACAGAGATATGTAGAGAGTTTGGAAAGGAACATTTGCGAAGAAGAGGGAAAAAGGGGAGAGACATTAAGAGTAGAGATATATTCAAATAACGATTGAAATATATTATTTATCTAAATCCACTTCATGAAAGGTCTACATTCAATATTCGCGTTACGTTATTATTTATTGCACTCTTTCATATATTAATTAGAGAGTCCAGGTTGTGGAGGCAAAGGGGCGGGGCACATGGGACGTGCACACTGGCCGTTCGAAGGGACAATGAGTATCAAAAACGAAAGTAATATTTATTTTTGAAACTGAAACAGGAAGTGAATACTCATCGACTTATTTGATGTGAAACTTTATAAAGAATTTTAATAGATGAATCGTGTTGAAAATACTGTCCATTGTTTACATAAAATGGCATCAATTTTAAGACAATTTTTCCATGCTCCTCTCTTACTGAACGACAATTTTCCCTTTCTTGGCGATCTTGTGATGTCAGAATTCATCCAGTACACAAATGTTTGTAAATCTCCAATACCCTCGTAATTGACATTAACGTATGAAATTGATTATACTGAACATTAAAAATAATTTTACAATTATTTCTTACAATAATTTCCACCACCGCCTCACTCTCTTTCGCCGATATACCTTCTGTTGCTTGATATACCTACTTTTGCCGCTCCCACCGGCTGATATTATCTTACAGCCAGCTTTGCTTGGCTGCCTTTCAGCGATTGTTACTGCTTCGAGTTCCGAAGGTGGCGGATTTTTTATATTCGCTAGATAGGTAGGAGAAATGTAGCCGCGCTGTATGGGTGAGAATTCTAGCGGCCAGCTCCTCTTCTCGGTAGTTTCCCGTGGTTTCTTCGATTAACACTAGGTGAATATCGGAGCTAATAAGCGGGCCATGAACCGCGCTCGATCTTTTCTTTCTCTTCTTCGTTCTATCCTTACACATTCTTGCATTTACATGCACTACACTACCAGAATATTGGGAGACCAGTCGGAACATAGAGATTGTCCCGGCTTGGGAGGTTTGCCCCGTGAGGGAGATACCTATAGGAGGAGTTCCCCCCCAAGCCCACGTAAATATTGGTGACTCATCTGGCTGTGCAGCGGGGGAGGACAAACAAAGCTCCTCCAGGTATAAACTGCTCTACTGTCGGGTGTAATGACCATAGTAGTTGACGTGTCCGGAAACCTCAATAAATCAATACGTTGCTCCAAAACTCTGGCGTCCCGCGCTGCATTCCGTTTCTTCGTTCCCCGCCGCCACCGTCACTCACCGTCACCGCCACCGCCTCCGCGCTCACCGTCTCCTCGGCCGCCGCCGCCGCCGCCGGCGTGTGGAGCGTTCGACGCGCGCGTGCCCGCCCCCGACGCGCCGCGTTCGCGAGGTTGACGTCCTCGCTCCTATAGAAATCCCGCGCACAAAAGGCGCGACGGCACATTGCGCCGCAGGTTAAGAGCTCCCGGGCCAGGCACTCCCGGGGCATGCGGGCCCCAGAGATGCGCGCTCGAGACGCGGGTTGTCGAGGCAAAGGGGCGGGGCACAGGGGACGCGAACACACTGGCCGTTCGAAGGGACTCGGGGGGTTCCTGAAGGCCACCGCTCTATTAGCTGCCCGCTGCGCGGACGCTGTTGGAAAATGCCACAGATCAGTTAATGCAAGGCGAATGCCGGTGCAGTATCCTAACCAAGCGGGCCATGAATGTTGCCCCTGTGTTTCTTTTCTCTTCCTTTCCCTATCCTGATCCCTTACTTGCGCACACTTACACTTACATGTTCTAAACTACCACACATGTCGGGTCACTAGTCGGGAGCTTAGATCGTGTCCCGGCTTTGGCGGTGCCCCCTTGGGGGAGATAACTTGTTAGGGAAAACCCCGCAATCCTGTGTGTGGTTCGGCGACGGATCTCATCATTCAGTGGGGAGGAAAATCACCGCAACCTCCCGTGATAAAAAAAAACATTCATCACACCTCCGGCCATGAACGTAGCAGTTAACGCGTCAGCAAAAATCAGGGGAATCAGGGGAAGAAGTCTACTAGTAGTAGAGAACCATGACTGCTTGGTGTATATTGGCGTATACGCCAAAGGAACAAATCAATGCGCATGCTGCGAATTAGATGGTAAGATTATTTAATTTTCGCAAATATTAAAGATCTGATTCGCAAATATTAAAGATGATAAAATAACCGATTCAATTACATTTTCTAGTAAACATACTACCTAGTATATTAAATATTGAACTAGTTGGTACCTTGCAAACATTCATAAGCATTTAAACACATTTTAAAAAGTGAAATTTGATTCACTATGGAAGCCAACTTCGAATTTCTATGGAAACCCTTGCTAAACCACCTATGGTACCCACCAAATTATTTCACTGAGAGAACTGTTTTTGTCAAAAATTGCAGCTTGAATCTTCTCGCTTGTTTTACTGACAACAGCAACTTATTCGCCCATCAGTGCAAATACTCTCAACAGAACATTTTTTATTCCACAGTAGGTGAGAAAACTAATTTAGTGCATTCATTATATGAACGTGAAAAGGAAATATCTTTCCGCGCTCGCCGTTACGTCATGACTGGTGGATTTTTCTTCAACTTCAGTGTCTTTGAGGTGAATTCAGTGACTTTTTGTGACTTAAAATTGTTTACATATTGCCTTGCGTAATGTTAATATTATTGATGATACCTGCTTACACTTTTTGTTTTATATTCACATGAACTAAAATATTTTGCTCGCTAACATTGAGATACATGCAACTTTGGTTATTGTTGTACAATTTAATCTGTACAACAAAAATATGCTAAAGGTTTTAAGCTTCAACATTAATCGAATCGTTTATTTCAATAACTCGTCAAACGCCAAATTCATCGTTTCGAGAAATCTGAGAATAAGTATTCCAATTTATCAGATTTTAAAATATTTTTTATTAAAGGAGTTTCTAAATGAATATTTTTCATATAAATATGCACTAACCACGTGTCTATCCTCCAGGCGCAATAATACGTGTTTTGTATTTTGGCGTTTCACGGGTTTCTGAAATAAACGATTCGATTGCTCTCCAAATTGATTGATTGGTTAGTGATTCCCGGCGCTTCAAGTGTTAAGGTGACTAGTGCTGTAAATTCATGTTTTCTTCTGAGGTGTCGGTGATCTTTCCCCGCCGGATGTTGAGATCTGGCGCCTACCTACCGTCGGGATTTCTCCGAGCAAGGTATTTCCCATCAGCGGGGCACCGCCTCAGCAGTGATAGACTGTAAGCTCCCGATAAATATCTTGTCATGTGTGGTAGTGTAGTAGATGTATGTGTTAGTGTGTGTAACTAACAGGTGAGGATAGAACAAAGAAGAAGAAGAAGAAGAAGGTAACAACGCGCGCGATCCGTGGCCCGTTTCTTAGGATACTTCTCTGGCATTGATCGAAGAAATCACGGAAGACTACCGATTAGAGCAACCGGACGCTATAATGCTCCAGACAACTACTGAATCCAACCTACCTATGTGTCTAGTGTCGAAAACCTAGCCACCGTCGGGATACAAACCTCGGACCTCCAGATCAGAGACACTGCAGTGAATCAGTTAATGCCTCGAGTCACTTCTCCAGTTTTGTTCTGCAAAACGTCGTGCAGATCAAAGCGTGAACGTACCATTCACTGCAGTGTTGAGAACCATGGCGTTTCAGTTGAAGACGGTCCCTGAAGGGACATCCGCATACTTGGACTGCTGCCGGATGTTCCGTATACGCCACAAAGGGGACTCAGGGCTGACCACGTCCCTCACTCCATCCCCTCCCATTCACCGAGGCCACGCCGCTCCTTCCCTCCCTCCATCACTCAGTTCGCGAGCTCGCCGGAAGAGGCCTTCAGCTTGAGGCTGCGTGCCGAACGCGAAAGCACATCCTCTCTACTTCCTCAAATCATATTTGAGGAAATGCTCCCTACGAGCGGTAATAGCACCCACTACAACCGCTAATTTTACTTCTCACTATGATTTTCTCAGTGCAACGGTGGTGTCAACGACAAATATGTTGTCTTCGACAGAAGAATTCGCTAACACACCGGACTCTTCAAATACATGGTGAGTTATAGCGACTCTTAGAAAGAGCCGTGAAGGACTCGCCGTTGACTGCCATGACCACGGTTGACGTTGAACCTTCAATTATTATTTGTTAATGTCAGATAGATCATAATTGTATGGTAACATATGTAATGCCAGTTCGGTTGAATATATACCTAATCAATGTAATCAATCTTTTAATGTAGTTTGATTTATAAATCATACGTCACAATGTAGATATATATTGGCAAAAAAACCATCATGTCTCGGCTCTTCCTGTAGTTGCCACAGAAGTCAGTCATGACGTCAGTTGTCACAGAGTGATCGGTCAGAGGTCACCAGTCGTCTGCATTTAATAAATACACTCACGACAGACACTGCTGCTGGTTCCTTCTTCATCCCCCATAGGTTTGAAAAA